TTAAATATAGAGAGGTCTGAGACCTTTCTAGAGAAAACTGAAGAAAGAACTACCATCCTAAGCATCTGCTAAGGACCAGGTAATGAATTTTATGGTAAGTCCACAACCTTTTGGATGTCAGTCATGTAAAATAAATACCAGTGGTGAGACAGCTGCACAAGGATAGCCAGTTTCACTCACGTGTAGTCAGTGTAATTTAAGAGTGTGCCAGGCAGAATGGTAGCAAGATACATGATCTACCTGGAAGCCAAGGCTAGAAGATGCTAACCCCAACTCAGCAAATGAATCATTATATGACCTTGGGAAAATTAGCTAGCTTGGTTTCTCTGCCTAAAAAGACAAACAGTAATAAGCAGATACTTCTAGAACAGATCTTTAAAATCTGAGAAAGGAAGGGAGAGGGAGGAGAGAAAGAGAAGGGAGATAGAGAGATGGAGAAAAACTAAACATAGGGAAATTTGCAAGATTGAAAAGGTACTGAATGATTGTTCTGGGCTATATTAAAACTGTTTGCTTCACGATGCATAGAGCCTAAGAATCAGAATATATTAATACAAGCAAATCAGGCATTATTTGTTTAGCACTTATAACAAATGCTTTGTTAGATGTGAAGTTGAAACAACCATCCCTTCTCTCAGGTTTATGCAATAAAGAAGAACATCCTAACATTCCAATTAATCCAAACAAATATGTATTAGACCTTGCCTGTGGCCAGGCACTGAGAATGTGATGGTAAACAAGACAGACATGGTTCCTGCTTCATTGAGCTGACAAGACAGACAAAACATAAGTAAATTAAAAAATTACAACTTGTAGATAAGTGCTATGAAGAATGTGGAAAAAAAATGGGGGGGTGCTGCAATAAATCTAACCGAAAGTAATCTCAGAGGGATCTGATCATAAATTCCTTACTGGGCAGGTCAGGGTGCGTAGTCATGCCCCAGGCCTGTAACTTTTTTTTTTTTAAAGATTTTATTGGGAAATTGGGGGAGGGGAACAGGGTTGGGGAATTGGGGGGGAGTGGAGGTGGGATCAGCCAAGTTGTTATTCTTCAATCTTCGTTGTGGAGGGCGCCAGTCACCATCTGGCTGCCCGTAGGCAGCTCATTGGCTTTAACTTCTTTAGTAAAAAGTTTTTAAGCCACCCTGTCCATTGTTCTTGTACATCTAGGTTAACACACCTTAGAAATGCCAGAAGTAGTCCTCTTTTCCAGACCCCCGCTCCCCCCACCACCCTCTGCAAGGGAGCACTTAATCTTGTTAACTATCCTGTAACTTGCTTTCTCCCGCCTTCACGTGTTTTCTTCTGTCCCTTCCTTAATTCCTAATGTATAAAAGCAACTGCAAAACTGTCATTCTCCAGAGCATTTAAGATGTTGTTTCCCAGCAATGTCGTCAGTTTGGCTCGAGTAAATTCTTATAAAAATTCTCTACAGGTTTGGACATTCTTACTTCCATGAGAAAGTGAGGAAAGGGGCCATAGGATATCACAGAGATTATCAGAGAGAAGAGTGTTCCAGAAAGGAGAATGACAAGTACAAAGACCCTGAGGCATTACTCATTTGGCATATGTAAGGGAATAATAGCAAGGAGGTTGTAAGCTAGGAAGTCTAGGGTGGAATAACTGACAGAGCAATTCATAGAATATGGAGATGGAAAGACAGCAGGAGGCCAGAGGAATGTCTCCTAGGCCATGGCAAGGGCTGGGGATTTTACACTTGAGAAATGGGAAGTCTGTGACTAACTGATCAAGTTACACAGCTGGTAGATTAGGAACTAAAATACTGACCTTCTGACTAGTATTCTAGTGTTCTACCTTAGACTCCATCATTTTAAATGACATTTTATCTTTTGCAAAGCCACTCATTGTGAGAAATGTGGGGTTGGATGATTGGGGCTTATGTTTTCAAATTTTTAATTATTTGTATTTTTTTTTAATAATTGTCATTCATGAAACACAACCCAAAAGTGACCAAAGGTTTTCCAGTGCAGAGTTAAAACTCCTTCCCACCTCTGATCCCAGGCACCCATCTCTCATTAGTCTCTTCTGTGGCCTTAAAGGAGTTGGGTTTTAAGACATTCACTCACTAATATTTATTTAGCGTCTACTCTGCCAGGGACTGTGCTAGGTACTGGGAACCTAATAGACTAAGGTGAATCTCTGCTCTGTCAGAGCCTATTATCTGCAAGACACAGGAAAGGGCTCAATGTCAGATTAACAAATATAAGGCAAAATTAGACCTCACAGTAAGTGAGGAAGAGTTTCAATTCCAAAATTGTCACATTCTCTTTAACATATCTTATGACCAATATAGGGCATTAAAGACATTAACATGTTTTGGGCCCGAAAATGTGCATTTTGAAGCGATTTTCTATTATGAATACGAAGTTTGTGACCTCATCCTAGAAAAAGTGCTATATACCTCATTGCTGAATATCACTACAGTCACCTTTAAAGTACTCCCCTTGGGAAGCTATGCACCAATGCCAGCGCCTAGTCCACCCCTCAAAGCAATTTTGGAACTCTTTTTCTAGAATGGCCATCAGAGCTGTTGTCCTATTACCCTTGATGTCCTGAATGTCATCCAAATGTCTTCCTTTCAATATTTCCTTTCTCTTCAGGTAAAGAAAGAAATCATTGGGGGCCAGATCAGGTGAGTAGAGAGGGTGTTCCAATACAGTTATTTGTTTACTGGCTAAAAACTCCCTCACAGACAGTGCCGTGTGAGCTGGTGCATTGTCGTGATACAAGAGCCATGAATTGCTGGCAAAAAGTTCAGGGCAACTTTTTCACACAGCCTTTCAGCACCTCCAAATAGTAAAGTTGATTAACTGTACAGTTGGTACAAATTCATAATGAATAATCCCTCTGATATCAAAAAAGGTTAGCAGCATCATTGCAACAAGTTTGCGAACTTAATTGTCAGACCACATAGTGTGGTAATCATTTTGTAATTTATACAAATATCAAGTCATTATATTGTACACCTGAAAGTAGTATATGTCCATTATATCTCAATAAAAAACAATTTTTAAAAAGAAAGAACTAGGGGTCGGCCAAGTGGCGCATTGGTTAGGAGTTGGCTCAGGACGCCAGCTCTGAATCCCACATGAGGGCCAGTGACGCTGTGCCGTCTACAGCTAAGATGGTGAACAACAGCTCTACCTGGAGCTGGGCTGCCATGAGTTGCCAGCGACGGCGTAGACTGCAGTGGGGCTGGCCGGCAGCGGGCGTACGCTTTCATGAGCTGCCATGAGCCGTCGTGAGTGGCCGTCCAATGCCTGGCGAGCGACTACGTCACCCAGGAAGAGCACAATGATAAAACCAACATGGGCCAGTGAAGCGATGTCCTCCACAACTAGACTGAAGAACAAAAGGACAGCAACTTGTCTGTTCCCCTCCCCCAATTCCCCAATAAAATCTTTTTTAAAAAAAGAAAGAACTAAATTCAGTTTGTTTTGAATTTTGTACCTATTCAAAAAGTACATGTACTGCATATTTTTTAAATTAGGGTACAGATTGTTTAAATGTTTGACTAAAAGTAGGTGGAGTACAGTTATGTCTTCAGGAGTTAGAAAGGCAGCTCTCCTGTAGAGGAAAGGACTGTGGGGTAGAAGGTAGGAGTCCCAGGATTCTAATACCAGATCCCCCGATTCATGTGGAACTTTAAGCCAGTGATTTATCTTCCTAGATTCAATTAAATTATCTGTCCAATGATAACCACATTTTCTCAACCTCACCATTAGACAGTGAAATGAAAGGAGCCTTTGCTTTTCTCTGATAAACTCCTACTCATTCCTGAGGCACTAATTCAAACATCACCTCCTCCATGAAGCCTTCCTAGACTTACTTGACCAGATGGAGTTGGTGGCTCCATCCTCTGGGTTTCAAGAGAACCATCTCTAGCATTGTACCATTTCCTTGCATTGTCCTACTGCTTTGGGTTTCTCCCAGAGCCAGGTAGTTGTCTTTAACAGTCTTTGAAGCTCCCAAGGGGCTACCAGTTCCGTTAGGAGTTCAATACTTGCTTAATGAATAATACCTGTGTCCTCGTTTGCATTTGTACATGCTTCTTATGTGATTCTGCCAAGAATGTAACACATGAAACCTCTTTCCATTAACAAGTCGTCCTGGGATGTAAAATCATAAACAATACAAATACTATGGAGTGTTTGTTTTTTTGTTGTTTTTTTCATTTAAAAAAGCTACATTTCATTGGAGTATTTTTTCAATGTAAAATGTTTTTCAAAGGGGGTGAGGGGGGCACAGAACTCCCTACAGTCTCTACACCCTGTTCTACTCTAGCTAGAACCTAGCTCTTTAAAATGTCCAAGAAATGTTTACTAAAAGAATGAGCTATTTTTTTAAAGCTTTAAGCGATGCACGACAAACTCAGGCCTTCCCGGGCTCTTCCCAAGACTGGGATTTACCTGGGATTCAGGTGAGGAAAATAAGGAGCAAAAATGGATATAGCAAGACACTCCTGTGTAGTTACATGCGGATTAGTGTGGGGTTTTTTTCTTCAAAATTTTCTTTCAAAAAAATACCAAATTGCTAACGGTAGTGATCTAGTGAGATCCTAGGTCTGGGGTAAGTTTTGGGGTCCCTCCGTTCTACCTCCCCGCTTCTCTGTGCTTTCTCAACGGTCCGGGGAGCTTTGCATTGCCACAACTAGGTTTTCGTTCTACCGCCCCGGGCCCATCCGGTGCGCCAGCCGAAGCAGGCCCCGTGTCAGTCTCCAACCTCGTCCGGCAGGAGCTCAGAAAAAGCTCGCGGGCAGCCTTGTTCTGGACGTCGGGACAGTTTAGTCCGCGGAAAGGTAACGCCTAGGCACCAACCTACCAGCTCAGCCGCGCACAGGCATACGCGAAGACAGATGGTTGGGTCCAAGGGACCTAATGACACCGGAACCTGGTACCCGGGGCATGAGCGCAACGGAGCATAATAGCTAACGTACCACCCTGCTACAAGGCCCAGCGGAGAGGCGGAAGTTGCCGGCGCTGACGCACTGGGGGAAATTTGCCTCTAAGGCACCTTCCTGTCCGCGACTCCGCCCCGCCGGAGGGGCTCGGCTCCGGAAATCAAGATGGAGTCGCTGAGTCGAGCTGGACAGCAGATGAGCTTAGCGGCCCTGAAGCAGCATGACCCGTACATCACCAGCATCGCAGACCTCACGGGCCAGGTCGCTCTATACACCTTCTGCCCCAAGGCCAACCAGTGGGTGAGTGCCGCTAGGACACTGAGGTCGCCCGCTGGGCTGCCGCCTCTTAAAGGGGCCGCGCGGACCACCCTGGGTGGAGAGTGATGCTGGAGGCCAGAGAGTCGTAGACGAGGCCAGGGGCTGGAGGAGAGCCGGGCCGGCGCCTGAAGGGTGTTGGGGGCCCGGGATTGGGAGAGAGGAGCAAGAGAAGTAGGCCCAAAACATCCGGGGGAAAAGCTGATAGAGGGGAGGATTGCAGGAGGATCAGTCCCCTTGGGGTCGGGTCCGGGAATGTGGGCGACTTTGCAGATGTGTTAGGATATGATACCAGTGGGGTCAGAAGGGCCTGAAAGATGAAGGGTTTAAGGGTCATTAATTAATTACATATACATAATAAATAAAGTAAACGCCCCTCCTCCCCGCCCCAAACAAACCCTTAAATAAGAGCCCCCTTCGCGCAGGTCATTTGGATTTAAAGCTTGAAATCCAATTAGTTTCAATTCTTGGAAGACACGAGGTGGGGATAAGTCTGGCTTTTATCGAACTACACTTGGTATTTCCAGAGTTTTGGAAAAGATTTCAAGACATTTAGGAAAAGGGCTTCCATATTAATTGGATTCCCTTGAAACCTTTGGAAAAGAGACCCTGTAAATGTGTCTCGTTCTAGCTGTGCCGCTGGTGATGTCACCTCCAAATGCTCCCATCAGACTAAATACTTTTAAGCTTTTTTGCACGGGAGGGGATCCGAAAAGTTAGTCTGTTCACTGACTTGTTGACCCGTTTGAGCTTCGTTCGTTGTTTAAAAACATAATTTCCTGTTTTCTAGTAATTGACCCTTAAGTAACTCATTCAGCTGTGGGCTTTACACTTAGAAAATAACCAGTAAATATTTGATGGATTAATTAATAAATTATTGACGTTCACATTTCAGTAAGAAATGAAATCCTTATACTAACAAAACTCTGAAAGATGATCATCGTAGTATGCCCTTTACAATATAATACAGATATAGGTTATATTTAACCGGTCTCTTTGTAAAAATCATTTGGCATTTTTAATTCAGATGAAAACTTGTCAAAATCATCTTGCTTTGTATTCTTTCCTTGACCTGGAAGAGGTATGAGAAGCCACAAAGAACAAAACTATAGGGTTTTGTTTTGTTTTTAAGTGTAGCTGATTTAGACATTGCCTTAGTTTGAATTGTTCTGAATAGTTTTTCTTTTTTTGGTCTACATATAAATTTGTGAAATATGGATTGCAGACAAATGTTGAAGACTTGGGGCAAGGACTAATTTACTAACCAGTTTTTCTAATTTTTCACAGACTTTAAGTATTTTGGAATTTTAATTGTGGAGCTCTGCTTTAAATATGAAATCCAAGCCAATAACCTGAATTGAAAAATAGGCTGCCATTGTTTGTTCATTTGGATTATGGCACATAGAACATAACCAAAATCTTTTCTCTCTTAGTTATTTTACAGTGAGTTGTGACTTTGCACAGTGTTTTGTTTGGGCATGTTTACTTTCACTGTGAGACAGTTGATTACCAATTTCTCTTTTTTTTTTTTTTATTGGGGAACAGTGTTTTTCCAGGACCCATCAGCTCAGCTCCAAGTCAAGTAGTTGTTTCAATCTAGTTGTGGAGGGCGCATCTCAGTGGCCCATGTGGGGATCGAACCAACAACCTTGGTGTTATGAGTACTGTGCTCTAACCAACTGAGCTAACCAGCCACCCCGATTACCAATTTCTTATACTAATAACTTAACAATTGAAAGTCGAGAAAAAGCCTCTGAATCCTTAGGAAGGAAAAGTTCCATGATGATATTTAAACTAGGGCAATACTCCTAGAAGAAATTAAGATGATAATTTTAAAAAAAAATTTTATCCCAACAAATTCAATTTGATATGACTAACATTTGAAGTTTTCTAACAATTTGTTGATTACATTAAAGTATTTGGGCCCTATCTAGACTGAAATAAGACTAATATGGTTATTTGGTTTTTTTAAAGACATTGTCACTATATTTAAGACCTAAATACACTCTTGTCACAGCAAATGAAAGAAGGTTGTGAGTTGTATTTTCTTAATCAAAACATTTCACTTCAAGCTAAAAAATTTTTTTAACTGTTTGTAAAACCTACAATAATTACATTAAGCCAGAGTATAGTTTCAGTATTCATGATTCTTCAACAAAGTTCTAAAAATAACAAACTAGTTGTGTTTGACAGTAATTCTTAAGTAACCACATTTGATACTCATGAAAGTGTTACCCAGATCCCCCAGTGATGAAACAAAGTATCCTATAAGATAAAATTTCCTTTTTTTCCTCTACTAAATTTGAGAAACTTTATTAAGGAAGAAATTGCTGTACACAGGACCTTACTTTAAAACTTTAAAAATCTGGCAAACACATTTTTGCTTTAAAAAAATGAAGGCTAACTCTAGGATTTTCTCTTAAAATTTGTTAAAGAAAAATGCTGCAGATATAGGCATGTTGCTGGATTGAACATTGCATGTTCATTAATATGCATCAATAGCATGGAAAGGATAGAAAAAAACTGATAACTAGTTTGTGGAGTGAGAGACTTACTTGACTTGTTCAAAAGTGATCAATTTTAAAATAAATAAGTTGATCTTTTTTGTTTTGTTTTTGAAACAGTGTTGAGCTGGTCTTTTTTTTTTTTTTTTTAATTACCGTTGACATTTAGTATTATGTATTACGGTAGTTTCAGGTTTACAGCATAGTGGTTAGACATTTATGTAATTTACAAAGTGATAAGTCTAGTACCCACCTGGCACCATACATAGTTATTACAATATTATTAACTATATTTCCTATTCTGTACTTTATATCCCCATGTAAATAAGTTGTTCTTAAACATGAAGTATTTCTTCTCCTTTGAAACTATTTGGGGTTGGATTATGGGGGAAAAAACTAATTGACTCATTGTCTATTATAGGAGAAGACTGATATAGAAGGGACCTTATTTGTATATCGACGGTAAGCTTTTTATAAGAAATTTTTTTAATATATGCATATATATATTTTTTTAATCTAATGGTGAACAATGTCATATGAAGTGGTTCAACCCTATTGTACATTTGTCTTTGGAACCTTCCTACTTGACCTTTCAGATATTCATTTATCCTAGCTGTGAGATCCTAACCAAGCATCTCCTTGAGCTTTCTTGTGATTCATGATAGACAGAACTAGAACTTATTTAGGAACCTAGCAAAACCATCTTAAAATAGAAAACATTTTCTAGTAATGAATGGGTCTAAAACAGATGCCTTCCATTTTTCGAACACCATGTTAAAAAAAGATAAAGTTGAGAAAAATATAATACATGAACTACTCTATAAAACAGTATAGTTGAAAGGTCAGTCCCACTGTTCCTGTGGTTACGAAATGAGAGGTTATCTTTTATGACTCTGGCTCTGTCCCCCTTCCCACTGGCCCCCAAAAGTTCTGAATTGTGTACATTGTCTTAGTAATGTGTATTTTTAGTGAGATTCCTTTAGAAAGCCTGGATTATTCATAATTGCACATTTTTTATTTTCAACTTTTCCGAGAATTAATTATTATCTTAAAACGTGATTGGTTTACTAATTGCAAGTTATGTGGCCCCTAGGCAGCTGCAGGATGTGAGAGTCATGAGTTCCGTATTTTTCTGAATCCCTCTTAGGTCTTGCTCTGACTGGGGCAGGTTCCTTCCCTTTGTTTCGAAAGCTTAGGCACTCAGCAGGAATTATTACATCTGGTTCTTTTCCTTTTTTTTTTGTTTTTTGTTTTTTGTAGTATGAGTTGCCTTTTAAGGATTGCCTTGCTCTATTGATGTTAATAGAATTTGTCAAATATTCTCCAAATTTTGGGGGGTGAAAGCCTTTACCCTTTACCTCCTTCATTATTTTTCATAATATTATAACTCTCTAGAGACTTTTCAGCTGTTGTTAGAACTTTGGTATCTGTAATACTTGGAAAGTACTGTTCTGGCCTTATTGTTACAGATCCATTAATTATAGAAAATGTGAAATTTACTATTGCAAGTGACTTGACTTAATAAAATTTATGGATACAAGACGTGGTATTGATTCTAATAAAAGGAGACCAAAGAAACTCTATTTAGAAAATGTGAGAACATTTTGTATACTTTGGATAAAGGTATACCAGGATGTCAGAATATCACCTTGCAGAGACAAGCGTAGCATAAAAGAAGCCTGGATTTGTGTGTCTTTAGGCACAGGTCTTAATCATTCTGAGCTTGTTTTCTAATCTGTAGAACAGGATTCTAAAATCTCTCCCATGTACACAGAGAAATGAATGAGAAACTATAACGTGTTACAGGGGAGCATTTGAGATATTGCTCCTCGGCACATATCCTCATTTTGGCTCCAATAAACTCCTATAAAAATTCAAAAAAAAGGAGTGTTACATACATGTGAAGAGTATCTAAAGGATTGTGTACTAAACCATCCTGATATGGGAACCAAGGACATTTCTTATTGTAGGATTTGAGACATTTTCTCTCTAACTCAAGAGAACTATGCCATTATTGTAATGGCAGACAGTCATTATAACCAGCCCTATACCATATTTAAGATAAATGATATTTTTATTGAGCAAATGTTTATTAAACAACCGTGTGTCCATCTTGGGATACATCTGCGGGGGGGCGGGGTAGGCAAAAACCCTATTTGCATAGAGCTTAAATTCTAGTGGAGAAATACAGTAAGTATAAAAACTAATGAGTAAATAGTATGGAAAAAGAGAGAGGAGGGTTAGAGGTATTGAACTTGGGAGCAGGTTGGGAGCATTGAAAAGAATAGTTCTCAGGTAGACCTCATTGAGAAAGTGACATTTGAACAAAGCCTTGTGGAAGATGAGATAACTGTAGATTCTGGGCAAATTGTACAGGCAGAGCTCTATAGGTGAAAGCATACCTGTAGGGAGAGTGGTAAGATGCTCAGTGTGGCTAGAGCAGGAGTAGCAAGGGAGAAGGCATGGGAGATGAACTGGGGTGGGGAGCGGGTGGTGCGTCAGCTAAGGCCTTATGGCATTAACAAGGACTTTGGCCTTTGTTCTAAGGGACTGAGTGCTGCTTAGAAGCTTCTGAGAGGAAAAGGGTTATCTGAGTTAAATTTTTTGTTTATACTTATAAATGCTGATAATATGTGTAATGCAATAACGTATTCATTTTTTGAAGTGGAAATAAAGAAATAACACTTCTGCGAACAGTGACTACAGATTTTTTTTCTTCTATTAAATCTAAGGTCAGCATCCCCTTACCATGGTTTTACTATTGTGAATCGATTGAATATGCATAATCTGGTTGAACCAGTGAATAAAGATTTGGAATTTCAGCTCCATGAACCATTTCTTCTGTATAGAAATGCAAGCTGTGAGTATATCTGTTTTATTACAGTTCATATATTTACAATTAAAATTGACTTTAGTTTCTATCTGCACATTATTTTTGGAGTTTTGAGTTACAAAAAAATTTCAGTCTATATTTTTATGGTTATAAATGAGTCTCTTAACAAGATCAAATCTTTTAAATTAGGCTTCTAAAATTGAAACACTTTTTTTATACAATAACTTATTTTAGTTAACTATATTATTCCATGTAATAGCATTACATTATGCTCCTGTTGTTTGTTTTATGAAGATAAATTTCACCCTTTGTTTTTCTTGTGACACTTAATTATTGGCTGCCCATGCCCCTGAGCAACAGAACTTAGTTTGAGAGAGACAGGATGGGGACAGACACTGATATTTCTCTATCTACAAAGAAAGTACTATCTTTGCCCTCATAGTGGTATTTTTCAATCTGTTGAGTGTCTGCTCGGTACAAGCACTGGGCCAAGAGATATTGTACTTTTGTGTTAATGGTACAGTAACCTATGTGGGATAGGCAGGCAGTTAAGTCAACTGAGACTCAGAGTTGAGTGGCAGCTACTCCATTGGAGAGTGAGGATGACAACTTTTTTTCTGCTGCATAGTCTAGGGTCCTTCCAGGCATTTTGCAGACTGGAAGAACATTTGGATGCAGTCAGCAAAGCTAGAACGGCCCTTTCAAGATGTAATGTACTAAAAGTATTCAGTACTTGGTTCCTGTATTTCAATATGGGTAATGAAGCTATGAGTGAGGACAGAAGATTATGCTGTAACTCATCTAAGATTGCTGGAGAGAAATATTGCTTCTAACTTAAATAGTAAAAATGACAGTGTTTGAATTTCACTTGACTGGGAGGTAACTAGTATTGGGGGAATGTCTAAGTATAAAATAAAAAAGCTACTAGAAATCATGCATCTTTTAATTCCCTGAATGAGAAATGGCAAGGTCTACTTTGAAGCTAGAAGCCCCAAATTTTTCTCCCTAGCTCACTTTTAAGTATCTAAGTGAAATAGAATCTGTCTCTTGACTTTTCAGTAAACTGTTTGTCCAGGTAATTACCTCTCTGAGATTTTAATTTCTGTGGACATATTGAAAATACTTCTTCACATCTGTAAGTTCAGATGGATTTATTTAAACTAATGTTAATAGGAGAATTATTTCAGGTAGCTGTTTTCTTTGTGCTGAACATTCTGTTAAAGGGGAAATTCTGCAAAGAAACACAGATCCATCTTTTCTTTTTAAGAGAAATTGGCTTAATTCTGCTCTTTACTACCTGGAAACTTTACCTACTGATTCTAAGAAAAATTTGATAATTAAAATAGTCAGGAAAATTATCAGAGGCCCATGGATGTAATTACCATTTAACATAAGCCCAAAGTGAATCGTACTGTATTTCTTTCACAAGTAAAGGTCCTTATAAAGTTGAAAGTGCAACATAGCACAAATATAATTGTACCATAATTAACCAAAATTTAACCAGAGCCTCAATTACCTGGAAATAGTTCTATAGTCCATGTATGGGAGAAATGAAGTCAAATTATAAGAAAACAAGCTAATGTTAGGTGTTAGTTTGTGAAAATTCAGTAAATAACTTGATTATAACCTGGGGTCAGTATAAAAATGTCAGTATTCTACAACTTTAACCCCACTATAGTATCATAGGTTAATTGATTGTAATGATAAGACTTTAAATCATCAAGAGTGTTTATTATCTTAATTAGAATATTCTTGAGTAGAAAAGTTCACTAACATATTTTATTTTCGAGAGATTTTCAATAAGAGGTTGAAACAATGTTTCCATAGTTAAGCAGAAAACTCACTTAACAGGTCATTCCGTTCCCTGGTTAATGGAGGCTCTGAATCATCTAAGAGCTTTACAGTTTCTGATATTGCTGATTAGAAATTCAGGAGCATGTCAGCTTGTTTTCAGATTCGAGAAAGACCTGAAAGGTCAAGTGCAACACTGTGGGTATATTAGAAACAGTCTAAAGAGGAGCTTGGGGAAAATATTTAAAGGAATAGCTATACCAGGGACAAGTGGCAAGACAACATAAAATGATTCTGGAAGTGTTAAGGCCTCTCTTGAGAAGTATATGTTTTGTCTGTCTCATCTTACAAGTGGAAAGCAGCCTTGTCAGGTCAGCGAACTATTGAGTTGTTTAGGGGTTTGTTCTTTAAATAAAAAGTTAATTAGTGTCTGATTGTGTATATAGGTAATTATACCTGATGCTGTAGCTGCTGTTCTCTCATTTTCTAGTGGGAAATACCACCAAGACACCTGACCCATTTTACTCAAGTTAAACCGTCAGATCCAGCTTTCACTCAAATTGGTTTTTAGAGTTACTACAGTGGAAAACGGAACTATAACTTTTTTCAAGTTCTAAATTCTTCATTTTGTTTTGTTTTTTTGTATTTATACAAAATACTTATTTCTTCTCTCCCACACCCCACTTCCCCCAAGAAAAAGTAAAATGTTACAGAGAAAATGCTTACTCTAGCCACAGGCTTAGGTTTGGCGATTTCTTGACTGTTTCGGAAGGAGTATATTTTTATATACTGTGCAGGGGCCTTTGGCAGCCACAGGACCCCAAGGGGCCACAGTGAGGGTTGGGGAGACTGCAGATTCTGTAGTTACTAAGCAGAAGTGATATTCCCAGCACCTTATTTCTGATTTCCAACTTACAGATGAGGAAACAGGAGTCCCAGAGAAGTTAATAAGCTTGCTCGAGTGGCAAAGGTTTTAAGTTGACAGAACCAGAATTCAAATCTAGGTCTGCTGAGCTTCAAAGCCAAGGTTCTTTCTCCTCCGCTGCAACAATAAAATTGCTTCATTCATCCCCATTCCAGAGCATGGTTGTCCCATAGATCTCTGTGATGATGGAAATGTTCTATATTAATACTGTTTCATATATAGCAGCCACTAGCCACGTGTGACTGTTGAGCACTTGAAATGTGACTATTGCAACCAAGGAAATTTTTTCTTTTAGTTTAATTGAATCAATTTGAATTTAAATAGCCACATGAGGCTAGTGACTACCATATTGGGCAAGGGGGTCTAAAGCATGAATCTATGTTCAAACACACCCATTTGTTGTGCCGTACCTGAACTGAACACTTCGGATTAGATTTTTATGCCTCCCATTTAGTCATTTCTTTTTAAAATTTATGAATAATTTCTACATAGAAAGGCTGCAGAAGATATCCCTGAGGGTCACTTTGCCATGGTAACGCTCTTGCCTTGGAATTCACTTTGCAGACAATTCTATTCTAGGCTTTGCCATTTTACCCACTGTAACCTTGGCTAAATCATTTAAACCACTGTTCTGACCTGCTTGTCTTAAAAGGGCATCATGTATGTGAAGGTGTTTTGTCAAACACTTACAAATATAAAATACTATAGATTGACTCCGTCTCTGACTCAAGCCAAATGATCCTAGTGAGAGTAATAAGGACTTGGATGTTCCCCAGGTTTTCTTACAACCAAAGCCCACAGTGTGTGTGCTTCTTCCCATCCTTTCTGACTAGCACCATGACAAACTAGGGACTCTGTTTATCTTTGCAGATATTATTTTCAGATGTTGTGGGGGACATTACCAGACCGCCTGAGGTATAACAAGTTGAAAAAGTGTATATGTTAAAATGGGAAATCTTAGAGGGTACAAATTTTTTAAAACTCAGCGGAAGCTATTCTGATCAGTAGGTTATAGTGTTAATTTTTTTTAAATAATTCTTTATTTTTAAGTTATAGTTGACATACAATGTTGTATTAGTTCCAGGTGTACAACATAGTGATTAGACATTTATATAACTTATGAAGTGATCACCCTGATAAGCCTATACCTGTCTGCATGGTGTTCATTTTTGTCAGCATACTGGAACACATAGTACCCTCCTAGCTAAAACTTTGTGTTAATGTAATGTTTTAATCTCCCTAAAAAACATTAATGAGAACTTTTATCTGTGATTAGTCGACAAAACATAGTTCTTTTGCTGTGCATTACTACCAGCCTGCTGATCTTCTGTTTTCATTTGTAAACAGAATGCATTTTATTAACTGGATTATTAAAGCGTTCTTTGTAGACTCTGAACTTCTAGGAGTTCTATGACATAGGCATGTCAAGGAAAATATCCTTCAACTTCTGTCCAGTAATATCATGACAGAAATCTTCCTACAAACATTTAGAAATGCTATATAAAATATTAAATGCTTAGCTTAGCCAAAAAGAGAATAGCGGACATTGCAGTAGGCCAGCATCAAAGTGAAGACCGAAAGCTATACTGGAAAGCTTGTGAGTTGACACTGACTGCCAGCTGCTAGGGGTTCTTGGGGATGGGGAGCTGTCTTTAATATAAGGACTCCATTATACTCAGAAGTCAAGAACTTGAGCCTTCGTGAGGTACATAGTTGAAGCTGAGACACACATACCAGCAAACAGTGAGGTCCCCTAAAATGAGTTACATATTAATTAGAAAGATATTGACCCACCAACCTAGGTTGATGACAGGCAAGTCTATCTAACTCAGCCCAGGCTATGAGTTAGAGGGGAAATGTCTCCCATAAAAATTAAAACCATGATTTAAAAAAAAAAAAATTTAAAACCATGATCCTCTCCTCATTCAGATTTGGGGTTCAAATTATACCATTCTTTTGGCATAATTTCTTACCCAGGCCGAAAAATTAACTTAAAATTAATCCTCAACTTGTGAGTACTCTGGGACGCCTGGCAAATGCAAATGCAAACCTTTTTGAAAGGATACATCCTTAACCCAGATTGCCCTGGGATCTTATTGATAAGCCTCATGGTCCAAAAGTACTAAATGTACAAGGAAATAATTCACAGTCAATGAAGGTAAGACAAAAAAACAGGAAGGTTAGCCAACTCTTCCCAAAAACTTTAGTTAATGAAATGATCATTTCATTAGGCGTTTAATGGATATACATACCAGACATAGATTATAAAATGAAATGACAGGTATGAAAAATAACCAAGTAGGACTTCTAG